CAATTATCCAAGTCTTGAGGATGGGCTTCAGGAAATTGGGGTTGCCCGCTTTTCTCCCAGATTGATGGTAAAATAGCGATGGGTTCGGAGTTCCGGGATGAGAGGTATTTTCCACATCCCCAATTCGGCTGTGGGAAGCAGCAGGGGAATCGCTTCCAAAGTTTCTCCCTAGCCACAAAGTTTTCCCCATTCTGGGACAATGCGAATGAGTGGGGAAATATCGGGAGGGCACAAAAAAGAAAAAACCTTCTCCGTGTCACCATCAAACGTTCCGGAGAGTTTTAAATGAAGGTGCACAAAAGGGGTTTATTTAAGGATCCGATCCCCTTTTTTTTTCCAACCTTGAAGATGAACTTCACTTACAAAGACCTTCAAGTCTATTGAAGCTTTATAAGTAAAAGATTCCTGACCACAAAAGCAAACAGTAGAAGAAGAGAAAAAGGGGGGAAAAAAGGGAGGGGGGGAAAGGGGGAAAACCCTGGGCTGCCTTAAAATGGGAGTAAAGGGATGGGGGAGGGAGGGCTTGTCTATTCTCATTCTAAATTCGGCAAGGAGGAGAAAAAGTTTGGACAAAAGGCCGAGGAAGGGAAGAAAGGGAGATAAATTATTCAAAACTCCCTGCTGTTAGATAGTTTTGTAATATTATAGGACCGTCTGTTGGAAAAAGGGGAGCCGTTGGACGTTGCAAAATGTTGCTTGTGATTTGGAAACAGGCGATGCTCATTTGCAAATCGGGGCTATTGTGTCCACTAAAAGCTCCCCCCAACACTTTGAGGTCATTTTATATATATGGGGGGGGGAAGATTTGGGGGTTCGAGATTAATTTTATTTGAGCCTCATCACTTAAAAAAAATATCATTTTTAAGATCGTTGATTTATTTTCATGTCCGTGCGCATTTGCCCCATCACCACCCCCAAAATCAAACGCGGAGGGATGGAGCTTGAGGCTTTTTATTCCTTAAGACGAGGCAGAAGTGCGTGTCAATAAGTAAACCGAAACGCTCTCTTCTTCCTCCATGGGTAATATCGCGGACAAATAAATCACGGCTCTCCGTTTCTGTGTGAAACAAGCTCGGTTTGAATTCAGGGCTAATATGGGCAAATTCCTGACGCCGGGGCCCGCGGTACCTCCGCGGCTGCGCTCCCCTCGCGACCTTTCAGAAAAACCCCGCTTTATCCCTAATATTTTTAATCCTTTTTTCCCTCCTATGCCATCGCGTCTTGACTCTTCTTATGGAAAATTTACCCCAAAAAAAGCTCCGGCTTTGGGGCTCGGAGGGTGGGAGCATCAACCGCGGCAGAGGGATGGAGACCCAAAGCCGGCCGAGCGCTGCCGCGATCGCAGCAAGTTCCAAAGCGATTAAAAACTAACCCCTAAAAACTAATAATGATGAAAACTAAACTCAAATTTACCGCCGTCAATGTGTGTTTTCACGTCCGGAAAAGTTGTTATGGCCCCGATTAAGGGAATGGATGATTTAACTTGTCAAATACTCAGGGGCGGTGAGTGTAGGCTCGGGTTTGACTTTTATTTTTGGCTCGAAAATAATCATATTCTTTAGAGATGCGGGTCCCTCCCCATCCATTTTCCTTGGGAAAATAAAAGCACAACCGCGCTCCTGCCACTTGTTCTCCAGCTCCGCTTTTACTGTGCGGCTTTGGGTTGGGTTTGGGGGGGGGTTAAAACGCATTTGTATTATTCTCGCCGATGGGGGGAGAGGGGGAAAACTTTGTTTTGGCCTTTTTCCTCTTGACAAACGTCTTTGCTCCATTTGCGGGTTCTCCTTGCGGGGAGCCGGAGGAAGACAGCCCTAAATGCTCTCTCTTTTTAAGTGTTAAAGAAAGCTTCCACCCTGCGCCTGTTTCTTTCTATCGTCTGCTTGGCATTTAATAATGTTAAGACTTATTAGAGCTGGTAATGAAAACTGTGGCTGTTGAATAGGGAGCTGTGTTGGAGAAGGGTGTAATAGCTCCAAGGCATGCTAAGAAATGTATTTATCCCCAATCAGTACTCACTCTCTGAGTTCCCAGCACAAACGTTAAGTTGAAGGGTTTTAAGGCAGATTAAATTGAGCCTTTATTTCTTTGCACTTTCATCTTTAAACGGCTCACTCCAGCTCGCCCTGGGCATATATTCATGAGGCTTCACTTTATTTTTTTTCCCCCTTATTTTATTATTTATTTAATATTTTTTTCCCTATCCTTGTTAAAACCGAGTTATTATTATTTGGGTCTGTTGTTATTTATCATGACTGTGGGGTTTATTAGGGAGGGTCACGCGTGGGTGATGCGCTGCTCTTCCGTGCTGCTCGGTGGAGATGGAGGAGGAAAAGGGGGGAATTTGGGCACCCCCAAATCTCAGGGGGTGCTGGGGAAGGTGCTCAGCCTTTAGTGCGGGAGGAGCAATAGGGGGAGCTCATCCTGGCGGGGTATTAATTGCAACCAGACGTGGATGAAAGCGGGGCGCTGGGGTTATGCGGGAGGAGAGGGAAGTTCAGAAGTGTGTCGTGTCCGTCCCCCCCCCGATGTGTAACCCCACGGTCACGCGTGGAACAGCCGGTCCTGGTCCCCCTGTACCGCGGCGGGATGCGGGGCACAATGCCCGCGGAGGGTGTGCTGACTCGGGTGGTGCTCGCAGGGTGCAGGGGGGCCCCGTTGGTTGATGCCTGGGCTGAAATCAAGGACGTTTCATTCATTTCCTCCTCATCATTTCGCCAAACTCCGCTTCCCGACGCGGAGTTTCTTCCACTGATCGTTGCTTCGTTACCCACCCGCGAGATGGGGAAACCCGAGTGGGAAAACAGGGAGGGGTGGATTTTTGTTGGGGTTGGGAACTGCGTCCAGGTGTGAACAATATCTTGGAGGGGACGATATTTGGACATTTGGAGGTGATAATTTAATTTAGTAGCGGTCATTGATACTTATTTAGGGTGTTTGGAGGGGGTTGGAAACAGAAGGAGGCTGGACTGGCTATACAAGGGCCTGCAAATTGAATTAGGAGGGAAAGGGATAAGGAGAAAGTGAGGGACCCACCCCCCCCCCCGGAAAGGGGTTTTGCTTCCCAAGATGGGGGGGGGAGAGTGATGTGGAGTCAATTTATCAGCAAACAATCTGCATTGATTTAAAACCAACAAGCGCTTTCTCTGTAAATGTATGTTTAGAAGGGAGATGGGGGGGAGATGGGGGGGGCGGTAAGAGACACTTCATCAAATCAAGGGATTACGAAAGGTTGGCAATCTAATCAAACAGAGCCCAGGCGGGATTTGTGAGTGTTGCGAGTGGGATCAGCTCTAATAATGGGGGGCAGGAAAGAGATAGGGTAGTGTCAAGCAATTCATTGGCTTTAGGCTGAGTTATTCTGTGCATATTTCAGGGAGAAGAGGGAAAAAAAAGGAAAAAAAAAGAAGCAGGGAGAGGGAGAAGGAAGGGGGGTGGATGTGAGCACACACGGAGCTTACATGGCACAAAAAAAGCTGAGACAAATGAGGTACAACAATAAACACAGATAACAATTACAAAGGCAAACAGTGGCTTTTGGGAACAAGTAGCTGCAGAACCTGGTCTACATAAACAAAGTAGGCAAATGTTTGCAAGATAAACTCCTTCCTAAATCAAGTGTGACGGGAAGGAGAGAAGAGAGGAGGAGAGATAAGGTTGGAAGGGGGAATAAACGAGTATAATCTAATACAAGACGTTTTAAAAAACAAACTTAAGACAAGGATGCGGGGAGAGAGGTTCAATTATACAGTAGGGAGTGAAATAATCTAAGGGAGATGTTTGTGATCCAGGGTTTGTTTGAGTTTTTTTTCTTTTCCTACATCATTCCCCCCCTTTGCTATGGGGGAGAAGAATCGGTTCAATCATAGACCAAGGAATAGAAAAGGGAAATGTTGGTATCGGAAGCGCTGGCTGGCAGGTGGGGTGCCCGGGGTTCAGCTCGGATGGGAAAGGAAATACATTCTAGACGTTATAATCTCTAATTTGAAGGTGGATGGTAGATTACATTGCCCTGGGAGGGGTAGGAAGCAGATATTTGGCGATGCGGGAGAGATGGATGCCGTGATAGGGGAGCAGAGGAAGGAAGCCGTAAAGGTCTAGTT